GAGCCTCCTCTTCTCCAGGCTGAACAACCCCAGCTCCCTCAGCCTGTCCTCGTAGCAGAGGTGCTCCATCCCCCTGATCATCCTCGTGGCCCTCCTCTGGACCCTCTCCATCAGGTCCATGTCCTTCTTATATTGAGGGCTCCAGACCTGCACACAATACAACTGCTATTTTAGATCTGCCTGAACCCAAAACTGAAACCGATTTTGTTTTTTATTTTATTTGTTGTTTTCATTGCTTAATAGCTCCCGATGCTTTGAAGTACAAAGCCTTACCTGCCTGACGTTTAGCCTGGAAATCTCTGTTCTTGTGTTCTCTTGAGGTGGGCACGGGGCAGCGGTCGCAGGTGACGGGCTCAGGTGCAGAGGTGGGAAAGGAAGGGGGTCAGACTTTGGAAGGCAGCCCCCTCATGTCAGAGCTGCTGAGCGACGTGCCCTTCGCTCTGGCACCCCACGTCTTGGCCGTCCAGGGCACCCGGAGCGACCTCCCCGACCGGCTGCTCGCCTACGACGTCAACGATAACTTATCCAGGTTTTGGTATGACTTTACGCTTGAAAACTCAGTGCTTTGTGATCCGTAATGTTTGTGGTTGGGGTTTTGGGGTTTTTGTGGTGTTTTTTTTAATTATTTCTTCTGTTTGTGTCAAGGAACAAGTCTTAAGGTGAACATAAAGACTCATTTTAATTGACTTAATATTTTGGGGGCCTGCCACTGGTCTATCGGATGCGTTGCATCAAAAGGATTATTATTCACAACTGTATTATATTTTTTTGCTTTACATGAACTGTACCTTACTGTGGTAAATACTGTTTATCTCCAAAGAAATCAAGCAAAACCATTTCAGCCCGAGCAGGAGCCTGGCTGTCGGTGTCTCCTTCCAGTAGGTGGGCTGCAGAGACAAACATTTCATAACTTCAGGATGAAGTTGAGGCACATCTGTGCTGTTTTGTTATTTCCCTCACACATTGAGCACATCGATCCTGCTACACGTGTTTCTTTGAGGTCACCTCGGGTTTCCTACAGGTAGAAACCAGTGTTACTGCTGAAGCAACGCTGCTCCGCGCTGCTGGACGGACAGCTGTCCACTCAAACCCAGCCTCCAAACTCAGAGTTAATGATGAGTGCTGAAATTATCATGAAAGTTTAATAGAATCAGTTAAACTCACCCGTTCCAACGTGAGAATGGGTCTCTCTGGCTGCTCCCTTCCCAGTGGATGGTATTTTTTGGTGCCTGGAGCCCTGCTCCCCACCCGGCTGCTGGTTGTTCTCAGCGCCACATGTGGTCCTGATTTAGACCCCCCCCTTCCCACTTTAACCTCTGTGCCCCCCGAAGAAGGAAATCTCAGGACGCGGCCTTTTAATGGTCACACCCTCCTTTTTTTCATTTGCCTGCCAGAGATACAGATGGCAATGTTTAACAACAGGAAAACGTTACACTGGTTCTCATCCAGGGAATGGAAGGGCTCGGTACCTCCCGGTGCCTCCTCCCCACCCCACCAAATTTGGGTGGGTTTTGCCCAATTCAAGCCAGAGCAGCAGCTCCCCAGGCACCTCGTGCGGAGTAACGAGCTGTTTTCCCTCCTGGGGCAGAATATTTACATTGTGCCAAACGTCTGTGGGTATTGTCCTATATTTTCTATGCTCTGTGGTCGCTTAAAATAGATATATTTTCAAACTTGTGTCCTCTGACAGTGTCTGAGAGAAATGCTGTAAATGACGGGAGATGAATACGTCTTAGGTTGTTAAATAGTCATGTTTTAGATTTTTTTTTGTAAATGTATGTATTTAATATTTTTGAAAGCTGTGTTCATAAATGTTTGGAAGTTGTTGTTTCAGGGAAAGTATCTGTGCTGCAATCCAATAAAAAAATTGCTAATTAACAGTGAGTTGAGAGTAATTGCTTGGCTTCACCTGTAGCGATGTCCGTGGCTCCGGTCAGACTTCACGGGTGCCTGAACTTGGAAATTCAGTTTGGAAATCTCTTCGGTGTCACTTAAAAATCATGGTCCTTCTAATCAAATCTGGTGCCTTCTGTGTGCTGTGCCGGGGACGCGTGGTGGTCGAGGTGGTGTTGGTGACACTGCTCTGAGGTTTGGACAGCTGGGAGCTGGGCGGTGCCCACACCCTCACACCTCTCAAAAGGCAGAATTAATTTGACCACGTTGTTTAGAACCGGTTTGTCTGCTGAGTTTTCTAGTTAACACATACCCAAAGCACTAAATTTAATTTTCACGAGCGTTTTGCATTTAATCATTAAAAAATTAACCATTCTGCAAATCTCATGTTTCCATTCAAGTTGTCCAGTTCAAGTCTGGAAGGTTCCTGCTGGTCCAGCTGGAGAACCTGGTGTGTTCAGCCTCCTGGGCAGGATGAGGGGCTTGTTCTGAACAACAGCCTAAAACCTGCACGGGAGAAAGGTCTCTCCTCTCCTCCCCACCACCCCTCGTCTTGTTAGGACACGATAATTCATCTGGTGTTGGGTTGTCCCTGCTCAGCCTGGTGAGTGCGGGGAGGAACCAGAAGACTGGATCCGAGGGGTAAGTCATTCCCTTCTGAAGTAAGTGCAGCTCTTCTGTGGGTGATGGGGCAGTTCCCCACTAACCAGATCTCCTTTTGAACTAGAGAGTGTCTGTTACAGCAACAAAGTGTGCTGGTGGCCCAGAAACCCCCCACCCCCTGGGCTGCATCGGGGCAGCTCCCCACTAAACAGATCTCCTTTGAACCAGAGAGTGTCTGTTACAGCAACAAAACACGCTGGTGGCCCAGAAACCCCCCACCCCTGGGCTGCATCCCCAGCCCCATGGCCAGCAGGGCCAGGGGGGATTCTGCCCCTCTGCTCCGCTCTGGGGAGACCCCCCTGGAGTGTTCTACCTCCAGCTCTGGGGCCACCAACATCAGAAGGACATGGAGCTGTTGGAGTGGGGCCAGAGGAGGCCAAGGAGATGCTGGGAGGGCTGGAGCCCCTCTGCTGAGAGTTGGGGGGGGGTCAGCCTGGAGAAGAGAAGGCTCTGGGGAGACCTTAGAGCCCCTTCCAGTCCCTCAAGGGGCTCCAGGAGAGATGGGGAGGGACTCTGGATCTCCCAAGTCCTTCTCCTCAGGGCTGCTCTCCATCCATTGCCAGTTTCTGTCTGCTCACAGGAGAGGAGGGACCGAGGAGCTCTTTGGCCAACATGAAGATGAGAACCACCCTCTGGCTCGTCCTCCCATCCTTTGTCTGCCTGCGCAGGGAGCGAAGCACCTGGAAACGGGATGAATTTATCCATCTCAGCCTTTATTTTTTGTCCTCCTTCTCTCCTGGTGAGTGACTGCCGCAGAGCCCGGAGCTGTGGTGGGCAGGGGAAGGCTGGACATGGCAAACAGGAAATTCGGTGACTTTTAAATAATTATTTTGATTTGCTCCAAGTGGTTTAGGTCCTGACAGCGTGGTCTGGGAGAAGGTTCAGCGGGCTGGTTCTGTGCTCCAAATATAATGAAGGGGCTGGTCTGCTGCCAGCCACGCGGGGAGGGGGAGGAGGAAATCAGAATATGCAGCATTGAAGGGAAAAGTCAGATAAAAATAAAACTTCATCCCGTCGATACAGTTTTCGCCATGAAGTGAGCAGCAGCTCGGAGCAGAGGGATATTGGGGAAGCCAGTTCATAATGACCTCTTCCTAAAAGGGATTGAAGTGGAACCCAGAACACAGGGCTCTGCTGTGGCCCCACAACTGGGGTTTTTTTCCAGCTGGTGCCTTCTCCAAATGGGTGAGAAAACGGCTCCCAGCACTTCCCCGAAGCTCAGGAAGCACGGGATGGGGCTGAAGAGATGCTGGAGGCTCCTGTGAAGTCAAAAACCAGGCATTCGTTACAGCAATGATGTAATTATTACGTAATTGCTAAAAAAGTGGGATTTGTCATAAAAATCAGTTATCCTTTTATCCTCTCGGTGCAGATCGGACTACATTTTGATTCAAAAATACCATCCCATTTCCTATTTCCATTCACTCTCTGGATATACTAAAATACTGCGATAAATTATTCCAAAATGGCTCATAATTCTCCATGCTTTGCCCTTTATACACATCACTGTTGGGGAGACAGAATTTGTATTTTTGGAAGATTTTTTAAAAAAATTGTTATTCCCAATTTAAAGAGAATAAATTCATCCTGGAGTGACACATAAAAGAGGTCAGTTCTGGGTTTGCATTACTTAAAGCTCTAAAATAATGTAAAAAAAAGCTTTTCAACTTTTAATATTCACTTCTGTGAAAGTATTTTTCAAACCAAAGTAGAATAAAATGTTGATATATAATAATATCCATTACATATATATTATAAATATCTATTACTGAAAAACTCTTCTTTTCCTTCCAAGTAGAAAGTTCCTGGAATAGTAAAGCACACAAAGAGTTTAACTTTTGCTGGCTGTTGACTTGCCAGCGGAAGATATTCTCCGTAAAACTGATCAGTTGCTTCTTGAGAAGTGAGGAGGAAGATAATCGATGCTTTCTTCACTTTTTTTCTGATCCCAGCGTGGGATGTGCCTGGAAGTGCCCCATAAGGGCTTTGGGTGAAAGAAGAAGCACTTTTCACTCTACAACCATCCCAGTGTGGGATGTGACACGGCCTGGAAGTGCCCCATAAGGGCTTTGAGTGAAAGAAGAAGCACTTTTCACTCTACAACCTTCAGATGCAGCTTTATGTGACTCCTATATACACATATCTATCTTTATATGACTCCTCTATATACCTATCTATCTTTATATGACTCCTATATTGAGGAGTTTTATATTTTTATATGACTCCCTATATATACCTATCTTTATATGACTCCTCTATATACCTATCTATCTTTATATGACTCCTATATTGAGGAGTTTTATATTTCCCCTCCAAACAGAGCCATCTCCCCCAACCCATGCTGCATTGATCACTTTGAAAATGCCATTATTAATGGGAGGACAGCCACCCATGGAATCATAATCACATTTGATTTCAGAAAAGGATAACGAACCGAAGGCGCTGCCTGGCTCTCGCTCGCCCCTTTGCCTTTTATACATGGGCTATGGATAATTTATAAACAAATAGTATGATATTATTGATCTCTGATCTCCATGGTTACCGGGCTCCTCTAGTTTCCTCTTGGCTTTTCTGTAATTAAACCCTGTAGCACACGCACGGCAGCGCGAGATGGATACGGCTGGAAAGGAGGGAATTGTTACAAAAGGCAAAGAAGGAAATTTCCTTTATTTTGCACCGTGGCCTCACTGGCACCTCCTGGGATGTGGCAGAACCCTCTGCTCGGGAGCTGCTCTGTTCCAGTGGGGCTGTAAAGCAGCACAGAGTACTCAGCCTTACACAATTCATTTTTTAAACACTTCTTTTTCTTCCTTGTTGCCGTATGAAAGACCCAGGCAATCAATGGGTGCAGTTTTGCCTACACATAATAATAAGTACAGTAAAATTGAGCTTTCTCCCCCTTTTCTCCCCCCCCATTCCTCAGTTACAGCAATCTCAGACAACTCTGGGAGCCACAGCACGGGAAAGTTTAAAGTAAACTTTACTTTTTTAACAAACAGGTTTTGAATACTCTTCTGTGTCACCTCTGAACTGCCCCGAAGCAGGTTAGTCCTCCTTGGTACCTTGAGTCTGAGATCTCTATTTTAAAATGCAAATAGGAACTTTGCATCTTGAAATAACTTACCAAAAAAATACATCTTTTACTCTCCATGCACTGATTGTTCTTTCACTTTTCCTTTTCAGACCACTTAAAACCCATTTAATTTTAGTTTCCCTGTTTCTGGATTCTATTTCCCCGAAGCTTCACCTTGGTGGCACCTTTATCCCCGGGGCCGTGGGTACCCGCTCTCCAATCTCAGCCCAGAGGGAGCTGCTCTGAAGGGCACCCCCACCTTTGTGGTGGCAGCCACCAAGGGCCTCACAGATTCCCTCCCAAATAGAGCCCAGGAATGATTTTTACTTCATTTTTCTTGTCCCACTGCAGGTTCACTCCCACATACGGTACTTTTGGCATCTCTCCTCTCTCTTGAGGCTCCCCAAGGAGCAGACACTCACAACCAGTCGCAGAGATTAAAAACCCAAAGTGGGATTTACCAAGAAGTTCTACAGGACGTTCTTCCACATAATCCCCCTCAGAAAAAGGAGCAGAAATGGAAGGGTTTAAATACACAAAACCCATAAAGTCATTAAAGTGAGACACTAGGTGCTACCCTTGTCACAGAAGGACCGTAAGAGACAAAGAAAGCCACTTTTAAAATACAAAGTATATAGGAGACTGTAGAAAACAAACCATTCAGCACACAGAAGGAGGATCCACGGATGGTTTTAGCTACATCAAATCCCAGAACCCAACAACAGGAGTCATTCCAGACCTGCATTTAGAGGACACTTCCATGAAAAACAGTGAAGCAACAACATAATTCTATGGATGGTTCTGCAGGATTGCATCACTCCCCACCCCTTGGTGGCTAATTCCCAGAAACTTTTCCCTGTCTTCAAAAGGAAACCAGTGGCCAAGAAGTGAATCCAAGCGAGCCCACTAATGGGGCTGAAAATAGGGGGTTGCAAAGTGGAGTCTGGGGAAAAATCACCGTGAGACATGTATATTAAAAATGATTAAAAATGTCTTCAGAAATCAGAGAGTAGTTTGGTTTCACTTCTTCCTAAACAAGAATAATAAATGGCAAAATATGCTGGTTCACCTGAGAGAATTCTCATAAATGACATATGACACAGATGGACATGGAACTGTTAATAAGGAAAGCTTTGGTGTACAGGTTTCCACTCCAGGAATTTTTGTGAGCACAGCTTCCTGTGGTCAGATGATGGATCCTGTCACTGCCCTGCTTTTTCCCCAAAAAATACTTAATTGAATGTTAACG